TCTTGTAATTCTGATAAGGAAGTTAAGCTGTGAGTGTACGACCCACAAAAAAAATTCACGGAAAAGAATATTAATTTAAATTTAACATTTTTTTTTCTAATATTCGTAAAAAAAAAAGTAAGGTTATCTGTTTGTAACATACAAACCACAATATTTGTACATTGATTTTTGTTCGATATCTATACAGTGCTAATTACTTACAACTTTAAAAGCATCCATTCTGTCAAATAAATAAAAACAAAAGAATTCAAAAATGTAATTAATGTAAAATCCATGACTCAAAAAACATTAACATAGGAACATTATGTACTTATCAAGCCATTTTTGGTTTTAGGCACATTTATGTTTAAATAACAACATTATATTATTAAGTTTAGACACCAATGTAGTTAGGTCATTACCATTAGAGATATAAGGAACATTAATATAATTGATTATTATGATTTGTAAACTAGCGAACATGACTTTTCGCTCATAACAATTAAAACTTGGATTATCTTAAGTTCACAAACTCGGAAGTTGATCATTCGCCAACTTCTGCTGTACCTCTACCTAGGCTATTGCTGATTGTATTACAACTGAACATTTTAGAAGATAAACCAAATTCAACGAAACTTACAAAGTTGTGCTACTGTATTTTGATTGATTATTATTAATTTTCTAAGTAAAATTAAGACTAAGTGAGTACTAACATAGTAAACAAGTTAGTCTCGTGCTATATCACGTACTTTGTATGCAATATATTTTGTTAGAGCCATTGTTTGAGAGCAATGCTTTTTGAATTAAATAATATTAATTAGTTTATAATAAACCTACCAAATTAGTTAAGAAATGAACTTCATCTGGCGCCTTAAACCAATCATTTTATCAGCATTTATGTATTTTTAAACGAAACCCTTAAAACATTCGTACAGTTTAAGGATACGGCTTCCTGGTAATCTTATAATTCACAAATAATTGACTACATAATCTTAGCTCTTGTGATTTGAAGAGTAGGATATTATAATCATAAAGACTTCTACCAGGACAAAATATTTCCCTGCCACTTCTCTCGTTTAAGTGTTTTATATTGAAAAATCATTTTTTGGATAAATCATTAACATATTTTTGACAAGTTCATTTTTTAATTGATATAATTAATTATATTATATATGTATCACTCTTTAACAACAATCAAAATATAAATAGATGTTATCTAGAAATAATAAGTAACAGACATTACAATGCAGCACGAGCACAACTATAATTGATGTACCTAACAACTGAATTCAACATATATGTAGGTCATTTTCAGATGAAGCTCATTAAATTTTAAGTCCTTCATAAGTTAAAGTCTATGGACAGTAGTGCAGACAATGTATAGTAGGTAGAGAACTTCTTTTTTTCTATCACGTCATGAGAAGCGTTGGCTGTCGAGTTAACGCACGTGCATAGTCGGAAGTTTTAATGTAGGTTTAGCTGAGGACGTTTTTGTGTGGGCGATAAAGAGGAGGGCAAAAGAGAAGAAATGGTAGTTCCAGTAGAAGGTTTGGAATTGCGAAGCGGTACATTCTCCACATTAAACATTCACCCCCCGAGTAGTAGGTACTTTTTTTTGTAAGCTCGTCGTTCTCGAGCACGTGTTGTCGCCCTTCATGAAATAACAAAAATGAGCGGCTCCTCGACACGCTTCTCTTTCAGTAGCTAGAGAGAAAAGTGGTAGGGTGAAAAAATAAAATAGAAATCGCATAAAATATTCAAAACAGTTTTGACAGTGTTTTACCACGGATTTTCCAATCCACGTTTCATTGCATAATTTAGCAACATGAGATGGGTACTGAACACACTGCGCTGTATCCCTGTTTGTTCATTGAGGTAGTGCAATGCTTATATACACAAGAAGCAATTTACTTTTCCGGTCGAGATAAGGTCTAGGAAAACATATTTCTATTCGAATTTCTAGACGGTATATTTACTTGAGCGATTCGACCAAATCAGCATTTAGTAGAAATAAGCATATTTATAAATATACCAATACTTTAATTTACTGTCGATACACATGAAAATAATAATTATTATAGCATTTACATTAATTTAATAAATGTAAAAGTGATCTTAATTACTGACATATAATTTAACAAAATTGAATTGGCTATAACTATCATTATACTTAATAACTAATCGCTCGTATCGTGTGAGAACACCGACATTATATTTCTATTTCTAATATCCATCCAATGTCTGAAAATGTTTTCCAATTTTTCAGTTATCTATTATGATAGTAAATCATTACATTTGGAAAATGATTGCTGGTCAAACAGTATTGAACGATAAATTATACAAAATTATTCTAGGTGATGTAAGGAATGAATAGGTTTTACACCGATATTTTTGCCGTCTGCAGTATATATTATTTACTATTAACTTAGAGAGAATCGGTGCACTTTAAGGAGTTCATTTTTTAAAAGTATAAGGAAAAACTTTCAATAAATTACAAGAACAAAAAGAAATAATAAATATACACGAGCGTTCTCATAAAATAAAATCGATTGATTTATAGAAATTCAAAAAAATGAAAATAATCCTTAAGTCTCAAAAATTAAATAATTACTGATTATTTAACATAAGTACCACGAAAATAACAAAATGTTTTAAATTTACATTTTATAAGTAACTTAAAGTTTAAAAGCATCCTATTATGACGAGCTTACGCCATTACAGTAACACAGGCTCCATTCAGAAACGTTTTTAAATGAGATTATTCATCATCGTGTTTAATAAAAATAAAATGCATGGCCATACTATCCTACACTAAGCGAAATGATACGAGTTAAAAACACTTGCTCCCTGATCTTGTTGGCCTATTAATTTGATGTCGTACACGGTGAATAGTGTAGTTAAATGAATAAGCACAAAAATGTACGCACTAATTAACGTAATCGTGATCTGAAACATATATGATCATATATTATATTATATTTATTTATATTCCAATAATATGTTCATGGTTAAACTGGGAGTCTTGAATATAAAAAATATAAAATTACAGAAGAAATTGCAGCAATATCAGCAACGAATACAGATTATAATAAATTTACTTCGGGGTATAACGACTGCGATAAATAATTTATAAATAATTTTAAAATTTAAAAATCTAAAAAGAAGTGATCAGATAATTAATTAATTAGGTACGCACGTGATATAATCAATCAATTATAATTTAGGTACCTATAATGAATTTAACTCTTGAAATAACATACAAAATTTAATTTTAAAATATTGCAGGTATTATGGCTCGTCTAAATTTGATTTGTGTGAGAACGAAAATGTTGTTTTTAATCATACGTTTCTACAAGTCCAGTGAGAGTACTTTTTTATTTAGGCTTGTCAGACTGCGACGTGGATGAAGGAGGGAGTCGGTTTTATTTTTCTTTCTGTCCCAGCAGCAGTAAATAATACGGTATTCTCGGCAATTTGACAACAGACCCTCTTAAAGAGCTTCGCTATAAAAGGCCATAAAACCAAAATAAAAATGTCCTATATATCGTGTTCTTAATAGCCACTTAAGTTTACACTAGGGTAATAATTTTGACTTTTTGTTTTCAAGATTAAATGATGTTTATAGAACACGCCAAATAATAACGCATAAGACGCAGTGAGTCTATTACTGTAGTGAGTCAAAAACTGCACTCTGAGTCATTCTTTTGAGTATAGGTACCGGCTCAGGTGGTTGTATATTCGATGGTTAACAAGTCGTTGAAAAATTATACCTACTTGGCTTTGAATCTGAATTCAAAAACCTATCACAATAAGCGCACACAAAATCTCAAATTGGTTGAAGTCAATAGATACATACCTACACTGAACTAACCTAACTAATAACACAACGAATCTGCCAGGCTGCAATGCATATCAGGTGGCACGAAGCCAGGATGAAGTTAAACATTTATCCGATACTCGCAAAGTCACTGTGTTCGGACCAGAAAACCTAAAGGCAAAAAAACTCAACAATTTACAAACCGACAAAACCAAACTTCAAGCGTCAATCTGAACGTGTTAAAAAAAGAGTGTATGCAATGATGTAATGTTAAAAAAAATTAGTCGTTTTTATGACGGTCGATAAATTAATAATACAACGGATATGAAATAAATATAATCGAAACCCATTCAATATACAATAATAATAGGTACTTGATTTTCATTAATTAATTTTAGTTGTTAAATTAATGAAACTTAGAAAACTATAAACAAACAACAATTTGAGTGGAATTAAAACAAACAATTTTTCGTGCTAGTTAATATGTTTTTTCTCTCCGTCGGCTGAACGATTGAGTTACGTGATAAAAATTATGAAAACCTGTTTAGACTCCTCGTTTTTCATTCCTTAAATATTTTTCCTAACTACTTTCAACAAACTTTGACTTTTACTGATTAAAGTTAAAATAAATATTATTTAACTGATAATATTGTATAGGTACTCGAAGGTCGAAATTAAATATATTCAAATACCAAGAACCGACTTATTCTATTCAATTCAATTCAATTCAATTAGATATACAATTATGACCCACTTTTTTGCACTTATGTGGTAGATGTCTTACATGTTTATCTTTATTTGTTGTAGAATAAACTTGGCAATATTTCGCAAATTAAAACGCAGTAGATAGTTATATAACTATAGGATATTACGAAAAATCAAAATATAATTAGCAACATTTATATATATTTATATTAAGTCTTGGTCAATTATTCCAATAATATCATATTTTAAATTTATATAATACAAGTTTTTATAAATCTATTATTTTAATACTTTTCGCGTACTTTAAGGTTAACAAAAACATAATAACAACATGTTATTTATCTATCTTTAAATGTTATGATTAAAGTTATTATTTTTTTTCTTATTAATATAAAATATACAGATACATTATACATAATACATAGTACATATATAAATTTTATCATTTAAATATATACATTTTAAAATATTTACTAAAAAATAAAAATATAACTAAACTTACATAACAATTATGTCCAACAATGTATTTTATATTATCCATAGGTAATAATTTGTAAAAAAAAAAAATTGACAAGGTCAGTCCAGTTATTCACAAGAACTTACAAAATTCTATTTTTATTTTTTTTTATATAAAACTATATTAACATAATATAGTTTTTCGGTGTCGTGCTTTCGTTGATTTATTGATCAACTATAATTTTAGATAATTATCACAGAAATATACTGAATGAATAAAAAAGTATGTTTTTAAAATACTTAACAAAACGTAATAAAACGATTAGGAAGACAAATGAATAAACAAATAATTAACCGTATAATGTCTACTATGAAGGAATTATTCTTTCTCGGATGGTGAACTTTGTACGTTACTACTTATTGTATCGATGTACTTTTTCTGTGTATTATTTGATGAGCTAAAATAAAACATGAATGATGATGATAAAAATTACAAAATCTTAAAAACAATTGTTTAGTAATTTCTTTTGTTCTTACCTAATGCAGTCCTCTACTTCCTCTAATGTATCAGAAAGATAACTGCCTGTTTCTGGTAGCATGAGTACAGACAAGCCACCAATGACGCTGACTGTTCCCAGTACCAATAACGGTAAAACTTTGCTCAACGGAGACTGCAACAGACGATTAGTCAAATAATAAGTTGAATAACAATTTCAATTTTTTAAGAGAAAATAATATATTCACTGGACTCACTAAATTCCATAGGTATGGTACCATAATAAGTGCGATTCCTGCTGGTATATTAGAAGTTCCTACTCCTAAATTTCTTATAACAGTTGGAAACAATTCGGCTGTGTAGAGAGGCATGATAACGTTTGACGAAGACACGGAAAATTTGCCAGCCATCACCAATGATAGCGATATCCACTCATCCGTATCTAATTATATTATAAGATATATTTAAAAATATGTATCGAATAAGATTTTAAAAAATAAAATATATAAATACCTGCTGGTAGAATCGTAGTAAGCAAACACGCAATTCCTCCAGCTACCATGGTAAGGCACAATGGAATTCTTCGACCCATTTTAAGCAATATTACCACACTAATCAATATTGCTGGAATTTCAACCAAACCTAAATTCAAATTCAACATTAAATAATATTTTTAAAAAGAACACTTGACAATTTTTGTTGTATGTTTGCATAAATTTAATTAATTACCATATATTTAAATAATTGTACCCCTTAACAACGCAGCTGATTTATAATTAATAAATATAGGTAAATAATTCGTTGACATATGTATTATTTTAAATTTAAATGGTAAAATAAATATATTACTTTACTATGAAAATTACCTGATATTATAGTATTAATGTATATATTTCCACCGATGTTGGACAGGTTAAGTACAAGCCCATAGTACACTAAGTAAAGACTGAACCAAAGAATGTATAAAACAAGAGAAATTTTTCTGATATTTTTGGTACGAAATAAGTCAGAAACTCGTACTTTAGGTTTGCCATTAATTTCGAATTTGTTAATACTCTGAAACAAAATAAACAATACATTATAAAAAATTATGTATTCAACAAGCATAAGCCAATTGTAGCTATAATGAATGAGCAATACTAAAATAAAAAAATTGTTATTTTAATAATATTTATGTTTTAATTATTTCCAACTTATCAATTATTAAAACCAAAATATGAGTCAAATAACTTGAGTTTGGCCTCCAAATTTCACACCGATTCTTTTATCATCCAGTGAAGTCGTCAATCTACGACCTACTACTATCAAGATGACCTATTTTAATAAAACCAAAATATGACTCATGACATATATAATTTAAACAATTTTACTGCGAGACTAAGACAAGTAATAACATTAATATTACCTACAGCGTTTATATTTTAAATTTGAACTAAATACAATATTTAGTTCATTAAATTAAAGAAATATGTAATTAATAAATTTCAAGCTAAAAATTAAGCAGATATAAGACACCTGGTATTCAAATTTAATTTTAATTTTTAACTTACTTGTTTAAGAATTTTATCCATATTCACTGGCAAGGGGTGCTTATTGATTTTTGAGGCCTTTTCCAAGACTTCCATAGTCTCTTCCACTCTGCCCATGGCCAATAACCATCTCGGTGATTCGGGAACAAACCTAATAATCCGTATAAATAAAATAATGTTTTCGTCATGACTCTATATTTCAATGTCTTACCAATGCAAAACCAAGAAAAATACAGCAGGTAACGTGACACACCACTGCAGCAACCTCCATCCTCTACAGATGTATGCGATTCCAGATATGATTATGTAACTCATTGGAACTGGAAGCAAGTAAAGAACTCCAGCGATTGTCAACCACTTACCACCGACCAGTTCCATACCTATGTTTAACAAAAACCATCATCAAATCTACACCCCTGAACAATAATTTACACAGAATACTTACACAACACAAAACCACTAAAGACGATGCTCACACAAACAAATCCCAAAATAAATCTCAATACCAGATAGAATTCAAACCAAGGGCAAATAGCGACTAAAATACCAAGAGCCAACTGCATAATTAAGGAAGCCATCAACGTCTTCTTTCTACCAAATCTACAAGCACAAAAATATTATATTATAGAAGTATATAATATTCGTTAAGTATCTAAATAAATCAAACGAAATGTTTTAATTAAATTTAGGTATTTTAAACCAATTTAACAACGTATCGCAACGTTCTTTCAATAAATGATCCCCTTTAAATCTCCAAAGGGAAAAAAACATGTATATAATGAAATTAGCGGAAATCTAATTTATATTTTCTACAATTACGAGTATTAACAATAATACCTACGCATTCGGGTATACGTGATGTTTAAACGAATTTTACAAACTCCGGAACAGATAATAAAGATATTAAATTATATAATGGTTGAAAATAAAAGGAAATGAAAAAAAAAAATAGAGGAAATGATATAACATTTTGAACTTTCCTTTATTATGTTGTCCTATTTTTTCCTACGTTATTTATGTAGGTAGGTATACGCTAGTAAACTATTAATAGGTATCTACAATAGCGCATTATATTTTACTCTTTATTAAATAATAATATTATTACAACAGTATAAACTAACTTCACTTTAAATGAATAAATTAAACAGAATAATATGACACTGTACATTTAGCGTGTTCAAGCTTTACATAAACAGTATAGGTAGATAGGTATGTACATATTTTAACGAATTTCATTACGAGTGTTTCATAATAAGATTTTACTGTTCATCTAAATAATTTTCGTAATCTGTTTAAAAGTTTATACCCTTTTTGCAAAAAGATTATCATATTATAAATAGTTGTACGCTTATTAATGTTTTAAACTTGTCAAAATTTGACTTACCTGTCAGACACGAGTCCCGAGAAGAAACCTCCAAAAGCAACACCCATCAAGAACATCATCTCAGCAAAGTTTTTTAATTCTTTTCGGTCACAAACCAGGTTCCACTGTAAATCGGAGTATCATAATAAATGAAAAATGCTCATTTATTTTTAATAATTTAAGTATTACTTCAGAAGTGATTGTATCGCCGAATTCAGTAGTATTGAACTGCCACGAAGTGCACGTTTTAAGCTCATATTGATCTGTTTTTTTTTTAAGTAATTCTCCATAACTAAAATTACCGAGTAATCTTTCGTAGTCTAAGTCACGATAATGACAAGGATCGTATACTGAAACCTATGTGTAAAATAAAAATATGTTATAAATCTGTAAGCTAATAAAAAAATAATATTATTTAACAAAACATTTTATCGGGGTTCACCTTCACATATATAACGTTAGACATCTTATATAAGTAACTTACAATTAATGTACCTAGTAATATTAAAAAGTATTATTGAAAAAGAAAATCCTCTTGGTCAAAACCGTATTAATTATATTAATATAAATTATCTAACGACTGAAAATAATATTGACAAATAAAATAACAATACATTCGTCGCACATAAAATTGACACCTTGTATGGAATTATATTATATTATAATAACTTTGAAGTATTTTTATAGTTTTATTTCAACGACCATCGTAGTCAAGGATCTTAAAACTACAAGCACCACTATTTCAACTTTCCTATTTAGCTGTTCCAAAACTAAATATTATGTTATTTAATCCAAAAAATGCTTATAATTTAAAAAGATACCAGTGTATCTGTTTATATATATATATATTTATTTATTTAATATTCGCAATTATAAATGTTCCTTGATATTACAATTTTCTTTGTAACTCACATTGTTTGTTGGTGATTCGGGGATTAAACCACTTAAATTTTTCCATTGATCTACAGATATCCGGTTCAGCACACCCGGCGGCGGTGTACACCAGAAGTCCGTATCTGCCCCCTGGAACGTTAGTACGAATATGTGCCATGTACAAGGCAAATTTAACAAGGACAAAATTAAAGTAAGCATAGCTTGCCATCGGCCAAATTCGCCGATGGCCATAGAAACTGGATCTTCATGTGTCTTTTCCGTTCGTTTGTCATCTTTAAAAACTCCAACATTACCTGAAAAATAACAAATAAATACCAATTTATAATTAAAAAATTAAAAAATAATGAAGTGACTTTGTATTTTATTTTCCTTAAATTATATTTAAGAGTTTTCATTAGTTTTCAATAGAATTTTTTTTTATTATTATTAGTTAATAATATAATATTAAAATTCCAAACATAATTGGATATTAAAATTTAAACATAAAAAAGCAGATAATGAAAACAATGGATAAATTATATTATTAATTTCAATTAGACGACTATAATATAGAGGATAAAACGAAAAGCATAGTGTACAAATAATATTCAATATGTAAAACATAAACGTTGACAGTTGAATAATTCGTGACTTGAAATGTTGAAACAAGTACGAGTACCTACAATATATTCAGTAGATTTTGAATGCGATAATTCATTCAAATAATGAACTGTAGAACCTCATATTATGTTTTAAAAATGAAATGGTAATAAATCACAATATTAGTGTAGCTTGCCACACCGAATAACAAACGATCCAGATTAGAATATGATATCATATACCTATGTAACATATATGTTTTTACATTACTTCGATCGCAATTCAAACCGCATTTATTAATTAACAGCCGGAAACAATATCATTATTAATGGTCCTTGAACGGAGTGGAATTGCCACCGAGTGTGTGTGTTTGGAAAATCGTTAAGCATCGATAAGCGGGGGGGGGCCCTTCTGTCCGAATGCACAGCCGGAGGATACGGAACGAATAGCGAATTCACTTCCGCTGACATTGCGGTATACGGTTATTGGTTAGGTCCCGTTTGCATCACTCGTTGCACTCGTTGTGCGCGCGCAGCGGCCACCGGTCAGACACAGCATAATAAAAATATATTATGCAGATTATATACGAAACCGAAATCCGTCGTCAGTTATATTACAGAACGTAACGCGTAATTATGAAAAGGACCCGTCGTAACTGCTGCAGGACGTGCCTCCCCAAATGACAATATCACATGACAATATGCTTCGACTACCGAGCATACACACATAATGTGTCCGCCACGGCAAGACGATAACACGGTCGAGTCTCGATGACTCAAAACTCTGAGAATGGGATAAAAAAAAATTCGACTTGTGTATTTTTCGAGTCATGCGTAACTCGACTTAAAAACACTTCTATAGGGGCGAGATAAAAATTCTAGTTCTCGAGATGTTTGAGCTGTCGAGACTCGACTGCGGTGTATTGTCACCATTCGTCAGACCCCCCCCCCCCCCCCCACTGCGAGGGGGGATGGGGGTGAGAATGGGACACTCGGCCCGGTGTCGCGCGGTCCCGCGGCCGTTCGCGAGCGGATAAGTCCGCGATTCTCCGGAGAAAGGCTCATCGACGCGGCGGCCGCGGCGATCGTTCGTCGTCGTATAATATATTATGTATACAACATAAGTGCCTACCCATAATATACATATTAATATAATAGTTGTACCTACACGTTGTATATTATCGCCGTGCCAAGGATATTGGCCGACGATCGTATACACGTTATGGCGCGCGTATTATATTATTATACCTATACGTCGTCGTCGCAGTACGCGGGGGCATAATATCGCGCACGCTGCATACGCAATATTATTATAAATTGATTACATCTCTGTCGACCTCCATGTTGCGTTCGAATGTTATTCATATACTATCAAACGAATCCGTTTACCGACAACAAGGCAGGCACATCGCTGATGAATTGCCGACGCCGGCCGCGACGATCCGCCGCCGTCTGCGCACATGCGGTTATCCAGCGCGCGTTCAACAGGTATACATGACGGATACCCATGCCCGTATACCGCACTCGTGGTACCCCCCCAGACACCTCGAATATTGCATTATTATCGTGAGCGTATCCTCCGGTTCGGTATCGCATCGTACCATTATCATTGTAATGTGGTATTGGTTAGGTGAATTATGACGATGACGATGATGATAATAATATAGGTGATATTAATACACCGACAGCCAGAGTGTTCTCGTACACAATAGTGGCATACCTACTATTATCGATTCGATGGCCGGCGCAATGGTAGCGTATAATAATAATAATAATAATAATAATATTAAGTCGACTCGGTCGATCGTTTACCAAATTTTAAACGATAAACATGTCTTATGGGTACCTATGCACAGTCGCGGTACCCAGACTCCTCGAATGTTTGATATGTTAATAGACATTATCGTGTGCGTATACCGGATCACAGGTATCATATCATTATCATGATGTTGTATTAGCTATATTATTATGATGATGATGATGATGATAGTAGTGTTCAAACAGAGTTCTCGTACACAATAGTGGTATACCTACTTATTGATTTGATGGTCGGCGCAGTGGTAGCGTATAATAATAATATTACATCGACACATTCGATCTCAATTTCAAGCGATAGACGTTTTTAACATTTATCACTATGTAACTATTGTTTTCGTTTATATTTTATCCAAACGCCCGTCGTTACGGCATAGCATTATTTTATAATATCAATAAAATACTATACGTGTTTAAATAGTTTTAAATATGTCAATGCATAATCATCGAATATTCATTTATTTTTACTTGTTAGGTTTAAGGAAAACGTAATAATATGTCAAAGTGAGTTTAAATTAAGAATTCAGATAGTTGAAAAAAATAAACTTAATACGTAAATTATGACACTTTTGAATAATACAGACTGTAATACGGGACGTGTTTCAAATGGTATTCGGGTATAGAGATATCAAATTATACTAGATATACTATATTAGGTCATCTACCCTAATAACGAAAAAACACCCAGAAAAACAAGTTGATCCTATTTTAAGCAAATTATAGAGATAATGTCACTAACATTAAACGTAATCTAAAGACACGTATATATTTATAAACTATTTTTGGTAGTACTAAAAATATAATGTCTACGTGTAAATTTGGCAAAATTACAGATAAAACTTCTTATCAATAATGTAACGAGTGCATTTTTTATTGGTATCGGTAAAGCAAACAGCTAATTCGGTGTTTTTGCGTGTTAATGTGTATCAAGAATTTTCGTAAATATCTAAAGGTAATAAATACGCATGTACTTACCGAATAATCTATTTGACGTGCCACAGGTAAACTCAAATTCTCAGACAATTATTATTGTGTAATTTAAAAAATGTATAATTTGATGCATCTACTAATAATACAAGACAATAGCATATTTTTGAAACAATAAAATTTAGTTGTTTTTCCAGCTATTAAATCATTAAAAAACGTTACCCCTTGGGGGCCCCCTACGGGCTACAGTTAATCGCTGAAGCGCGTATACCCGTTGAAAATTGTGGAAAACATCACATTTGGATAAAACTACCCGAGCACAATTATTCTAAAATAAATAACATTATAAAAACAAAGAAGATATTAAAATGATATAATAAGTAGGTACAGGTATTAATGTATTATGTCGTGTGTGCAATTTTTTATCAAATTATATACTCATATCATGAAAATTGTCATTTTAATTGTGACGCGGATAATCATTCATAACTGTATTCCTAAAAATAATTGTTCCGTTGCAAAAACTGTCAAAAGTCATGGCCGTTCATTTTATATAACGTACCTACACCTGGACCGTGAAATCTACAGGAAAATATTATATATATTATCCATGTTTGATACTTCAGAAATTCTAAATTACCATATTATTCGATGATCCAATTACCTACGAGTAAACAAATAATTTCAATAAAAATCATTTTAAAAACAACATTAAAGCTAAATAATTATCTTAACCAAATTAGTAATTATATATTATAGTAGACAACCTTGGCTCTCCTCTGTCTCGTTTCGACCGTTTTTAATATAAATTTAATTCTTTGAATTTTAGAAGAAATGCAAATTTATGTTATTAGTAAATGCATCTAGCTTAAAAATACCATACTGTTGCGGTTTTAACTGTATTCTCTAATGATAATTTAAACATCGTAATTTCTCATAAATAATTTAAATACCTATAGTTATCATTATGTTAATCATTTTCGATCTATAATTACTAAAAATACGATAAAGCCACCAAGCCACGTGTCTTCAAAGTTATAATAGCACTCAATTATTGGTTGAAATGTATAAATCGTGAGTAAATATATTATATACCAACAGTTATGAATAATTTCAAATGTAATATTTTAATTTTATCTTTAAACATCTTGTCGTGATTGAATTAAATAGTTTAATGAGTAAAAAAAAAATTATGAGTTTAAATACAAATCCAGCTAAGAGCAATTTTCCATACATATTAATGTTTTCGTACACTTTCAGTATTGTGCTTTCAACTATTGTATTCTAACAAAATATCTCATTTGACATTGAACTGTCTAATAAAATAACAGTTTTTATCTATAAAAACAATACTAAAATGTTTTGAAATATATATATCCAAAATGTTTTTATTTATGTGTGTAGCTACTTTGCTACTTGTGAAATAAAATTAACATGATTTTCAAACAAATATAGGTAGGTTATGTCATATTTTAGTTAGTTAGTATGTATTTTAAAAACAAGATGTATAAAATGAAGAATTTATAAACATATTATATAGACTGACTAGATAGACATTTTCCGACGAGAATTCCAATGAATGTAACGTTGAAGTTTATAGAAACCGACCGACTATGACGACGACGCGACGTTCTCTTTGACTTTGTTTAGGGTTTTACTTTCGTTTGTACGTACGTACAACAGTGAACGAGAAAATTATTCGAGAAAATTCAACAAGGATTGCCACGAAATAAATTCGCATGAATACCTACTCATATAAGAGCAGCTATATTTGATACCGTTTGAATGCACTTTCTGCAGCAGAGTGGTATTATGCCAAATTGTCAGCACGACTTTCCGGCACGCCCTTAATTGTACGTTGTCAACTGGCGGCCATAATAATAATATTATCCGTGCAAGTTGTTTTCGACTTCAGTACCATTATATGACCCTAACTGATAATATTCTAGTTTTGACGTTTTATAAGTTTGGCA